GCCTGTCCAACCACTTACCGGCTGACCTGGGATCGGTTTCACTGGTTCTGCTGGATGGCTTGGTTACTTAAAATACTAATTTTACAACTTTCAGCCTAAAACATGTGAAGGCTGAGAATTTTTTTTTTGTCCATATACTGGCTGGCTCATTTATATCCTATATCTTCAGTGCTGTGGTAAGAAGAATCAGATGTGGGGTAAAAAAATGATACATCCCAGTACTTTGTTTAAGAAAATATTGTTGTAAAGCACTGTTATGAAACTAATTTTTTTAATTATAAAATTTGAACAACTTAAAAAGGTAGAAGTGCTATAAAAAGAAAAAGAAAATTTAGATTGGAATATTTTTTGGTTATTATAAAAAGGTGTGTTGTTGCAATTATATTCAATTTTGTTATTTGAAAAGATGTGAAAACTGAAAAAGGAGCAAGCCCAATAAAATTATTATCTCGTCAATTTAATTTTTTTTCCCATTTCAATTTACTCTTTCATATTTTATTTTAATTTAATTACACACTATAACAACTATAAAATTATTAAGCAATTCACCATTTGTCAAATTTAAAAATAAATGTACCGAAATTTAATTATTATTAGGTGCTTTTGTCTATATAATATTAGTTAATTTGAAAAATTACCTTATTTTTGTATTTTATCAACTTATTTATTTGTTACAACTTGATCGACCTCCGTTTTGTGTAGATCCTTGATCCTTCAGCTTTCTGGGTCAATGTCCGGGCTGGTTATCAAATTCGAAGAACCCATTCTCTTCTCTTTTCCTCACCTTCTGTTTCTTGGAGCCTGTCATATCCAAATTTCATTTGATTTGTGCCAGGGGAAGGGAAAAAAAATGAAAGAAAAAGGAAAAAAGTGCATATGAAAATAAGAAATCATAACTTTTGAAGGAAGTTGGTTGTCCTTCCACTGATAAGGAATACTTCTAAACAATGAGGATGTAAAAAACATAAAATGCACATGTAAAAGAATGTTTATAAATTCAAAAATTACACACCGTTGCTGAATGATGTTGATATTACTGATGCATACCAGTCCTAGGTCATATCCATTTTTTGCTTGTATGCTTCAAGAATTTCCTCCCAGGACATAAACTGAAACTTGATTTTCAATTTCCAGCGGTTGATTTCTTCAACCAGGTTAATCTGCTCTACGGAACCCTCACAGAGTTCTGTACTCCAGAAAACTGTCCAACAATGTCTGCTGGTCCCAAGTACGTCTGTGTAATTATTACTTGATTTTCATTTCACAGAGTAGCCATTCAATAGGTTCATTATCATGTAAAAGAGAGAAAGATGTGTTGGTTTGAATATTCAAGCATCTTACCAGTTGATAGAGAATTTCTATTTAAAAGGAGGAAAGTTAACTAGAAATATACAGAGCTTCCTTGTAGATTTTATTCATTCTTGTTTTTTAATTTTTTTTCTTTTTCAAAACCACCCAAGGGAAAGGTAAAGAAACCTGGAAAATACATCCCAAAGGTAAAGAACAAGTTGATATCTGACAAGTAAGTTTAGCACTAGTGAAGAAGCTTGCCTTGTGCACCCCAGTCATGGACAAGTTTCAAGGTTTTGAATAATGATCATCATTGCTTTTACTATTTACCTCAAGAAATTGAAGTTAATCAATGGATTGTATACTCATCAAACTTGGTTTCTCAGCTGCATTTATAGAGGAGAAAAATAGACCTCCTTTTTTAATTTGCCCTAAAAGTTATACCTATGAAAGTTCTGTTTATATTGGCAACTGTTAGATGCTTCCAAACATTACCTTCTCATTTATGCCTGACTTTGCAAGTTGCTCTGATTCTCTTGAAGATTTTAACGACGTATATTTTTTACTGTTTTTTGTTTTGTTAAAATAACTTAGCATGTTTGGCTGTGCTAGAATTAGGTCTAATTTATTTTGCCAAACATGACACTCTCAAGTAACTTTTTGTACTAACAAAACTTACGTTCCTAGAAAGTAAGTCGACTTTTAAGCACATCCAAACTTTCAATTAATCCATGCTGGGGTATTGATTGTTGTCATAAAAGCTGGGTCAAACTATAACCATCTTGTTAATATTACACGAGTAAGCTTCCTTCACCTTTAGGAGAATCCTACTACCAACTTTTCAGAGTACAATTTATGGAATTACAATAGTTCTGCATAGATTTTTAACAAAATTGTATTTTAATAAGAAATGTTACTGAACTTCTCAGAATTTTTTTTTTTTTTTTGGCAGGTACGAGTACAGATGGGCAGACGGTGTACAAATCAAGAAACCTATCGAGGTTTCAGCTCCTAAATATGTCGAGTATTTGATGGACTGGATCGAAACCCAGTTGGACGATGAATTGATATTTCCTCAAAAGCTTGGTAAGAATTGAACTGCTTCCGAGTGTGTTTCATTGCGTGCTTTATAAAGTAGAAGATAGTTGTCCGCATTATATATTGGCACACCATATTAACGAATACAATATTTGTAGGCACGCCGTTTCCTTCCAACTTCAGGGACGTTGTGAAGACTATATTCAAACGCCTGTTTCGTGTATATGCACACATATATCACTCTCATTTTCAGAAGATTGTGAGTCTAAAGGAGGAGGCTCATCTAAATACCTGCTTCAAGCATTTTATATTGTTCACCTGTGTAAGTTCTTCGATTCTTGGGAGCTAAATTGTTTCTTCGTAATATTTTCACACTGCTCCTTTCTCAGACATCAAATTCAAATAATTTTAGAAGAATCAATGTCTTTTTAATTTCTTTCTTTGTGCTTAACATAAAAACCATTTCTGTCCCGTGGTAGTGAGGAAGTCGAGCCCTCAGCCATTTACAAATGTTACAAAACTTTTTAAAATTTTCGTTGAATGCTTCGAACGCAGGAGTTTGGGCTGATTGACAAGAAGGAGCTGGCTCCACTTCAAGAGCTCATAGAATCCATTGTTCCTTACTGAAAGTGCCTTGTATTTTCCTGTCTGAACTGACATTATCTAGGCACAAATGAGATGATGTAATGCTATAATTGTGTGCACACAGTTCCTGGAGTAAACTCAAGGTTTTGCATATACTTTCAGTAATATATTTTAGCAGATTGCCTTGGCAAGACTTTTTTTGTTAGAATTCTTGCACATATTGTTCGTTCTTGGAAGTTCTAAGAGAAGTCGATATCTATATCTTTTGTTGAAGGATCAAATGACAAGAAAGATTGGGAAATCAATCTTAAATATTGCAGGCTATTGCTGTTCTGTTACCNTATATCTTTTGTTGAAGGATCAAATGACAAGAAAGATTGGGAAATCAATCTTAAATATTGCAGGCTATTGCTGTTCTGTTACCCCAATGTGGTTGCTCTCCTTTCTTTTGATAAGGAAAGCGGCAAATACCTGGGAGACGAACAAGCTAGATAGTGGGTTGATAAAAAATCGAATATTGTTCAATGTTTTCTTCATCCATAACTCAACTTTAATGATATAGACAATAATGTTGAAATTTAAAAAAAAAATTAATTGAAAAATAATATTACAAGTATAATGATGGTTGGAATTTTTAAACGAATGATCCAAGATAAAGTCGAAAGCAAAAAAATGAAAAGGTCTATTGTAAATGTATCTAAAATCAGCCTTATATTGTTTAATGTCTATCAAACCCCTCATGATATAAGACTCTAGAAACGAATGTCATTTTTATAAATTTTTTATTTTTTTACAATTTGTTCGTCCTTATAACCCGGTTCAATAAGCAGCATGGTTGCAACACCTAGTAAGTAACGAGTTTGCAAGGCCCAAGTAATAAATTTCATAATCAATTAGATACATTCATTTGAATAATTGAATCGTATCACTCTTGTTCGTAAGAACTCTAGCTCCTTACTGTTTTTTACGTGCTGCCTCCCCACGAATCTTTCTTGAGGAGCTGCACGTAGAGCCATAGTCGGAATTTGATGCTATTCGATGGCATACTTGCACAAGATTAGGAAAAGTATTGATATATGCATTTGGTGACATATTTTATTTCTTCTATATTAACTAAATATTGGAAGATTATTTGTATTGTCAGCTCATGTTTTTAAAAAAAATGTTATATGGGTAAATTCGAACCCAAATTTGATAGATTGAGTTGAGCTTCTGTTGCGGTAATTACGCGAACTTGAATTGTTTCATTAAAATATTCGAACTGGACCACTTGACGTCCAAACCTAATTAGAATGGCGAACTAGATCAAAATTATTTAATTATCGATTTACAATTTAGAACTAGATCAATTAAAATTGGTTCAAATAGTTCTTCAAGTGATTCTAGAAAATGTACACGTCTTGTTTTGAAAATAGATTATTCAAGTCAATTACCAATTTACAATTTACTACCAAAAACTATCTTTATTGTATTTTGACTTTTATACCTTTTCACGAACCCAATCATATAGTTGTTGAAGAATACCAATCTTGAAAATTATTATTCAAAAGAAAAAGAAAAGCAAATGCATGAAAATTCTTCATCCTTTTATTGACTTGTGCGTTGAAAGAGAAGGTTTCACTTTCTAAAGTGTTTTTAGATATTATAAGCGGTTGAAAAATAGACTTATGTGAAGAAAAATTCAACAATTGATAGTCCCAAAATGTGCAAAATTCATAAATTTTATCTAGAAACTGCGCGTCTCATTTTTTCAACACTCATTTTTAATCGTACATTTGTTCATAAAATAATATTACGAGTAAATCGAAAATTTTTCCTTATTTTTTAACAACATGGTATTAAAAAATCACTATTTCAAAATTTATTTAATTCCAAGTTTTCATTAAAATGGAGTCCAAACAAATGTAAATAAAAATTTTTGTGCCGCCCCTACATTAATTTTAGAATCTTGTTTTCAGAAAACACATTGGGGACAGTGATGGTGTTTTATTAAATAAAAAAGAAAGAATAATTGAGATTTAAGTAGAATAATAACAGTGGATTTGGGATACTAGTGTCTTTTGTGATTTGATTAAGTACAAGAATTTGCTTGCTCACTGTTAAGACTTGAAGTTCATCTTAATAAGATCAATCTTATTAAGAAGAGTGATCCAAAATTTATTTTAGTTGGTCAATATTTCGATATTTAACTGATGTGAGATCTATTCATTTAACATGCCCTCGCAAGATAGTGGTTCTTTTTTGAATAGACCAATTTTGAAATTCGCGTGCTCATTTTTAAAACTTAATCGGATCGAATAACTCGTTGGAGCTTACTGGGCTCTGATACCATATTAAGACTTGAAGTTCATCTTAATAAAGTTAACCTTATTAAGAGGAGTGATCCAAGATATATTTAAGTTGGTCAATATTTCGGTATTTAACCGATGTGTGATTTATTCACTTAACAGCCCCCGCAAGATGGTTGTTCTTTTTTGAACAGACCAATCTTGAAATCCGCGTGCTCATTTTTGAGACTTAATTAGATCGAATAGTTCGTTAGAGCTTTCTGGGCTCTGATACCATATTAAGACTTGGGTTTCATCTTAATAAGGTCAACCTTATTAAGAGGAGTGACACAAAATCTATTTAAATTGATCAATATTTCGATATTTAATTGATGTAGGATTTATTCTCTTAACACGCCCCCACAAGATGGTGGTTCTTTTTTGAACAGACCAATCTTAAAGTAACTAAATAGTTCGTTAAAGTGATAACGATATTCTATTCAGGCCTGTTTGAGCCCCATTATTTTGAAATAAACAGTGATTTGATAGTATTTCAACTATAAATTTTTCAATATAATAATATTACACGCAAATATAAAATTTTTTCTAATTTTTTAACTACACTTTCTCCATCAATTTACCATTCGAAAATACATTCTTCAAAAATAACGTGGCTCATATACACACTAAATTTATTACTTGTAACGATCAACGGCATCCAGAAGCAGTACTACCTACTTCCTTTTTAGATCCAATGACGAGATACAACCGACAATAATCAGATTTGACTTGAGTTTTTTTGCCTGATTCTAACACCGTGTTAGTATATAAAAGTTTAATTTGTCAAACAAGATGACACATACTCATTCAACTCTTGTATTAAAAAGATTGATCTAACTACCAAATCAAATTTGTTGTTGGTACCTTAGTATTTTGATAAATCTTAGAAACAATAACAGAAGAATCCCATGTAATAATCGACTCTCTAACATTGTTTATGTAAAAAATTCTCTTTTACTAATAAAATTTCAAACAAGAGAACATTTATTGTGCAAAACAAAAATTAAAATGTGTGATTAAAAATAGTATTTCGTTATCTCCAAACAAATGAGAATGATGAGAATGTTAAGATTTGACGTCCATCTTAACAAGGTCAATCTTATTAAAAGGAGTGATCCAAGATCTATTTAAATTGGTCAATATTTCAGTATTTAACCGATGTGTGATTTATTCCCTTAACATGCACCCCGCAAGATAGGGACTCTTTTTGAGCAGACCATTCTTGAAATCGGTATGCTCATTTTTGAGACTTAATCGGATTGAATAGCTCGTTGGAGCTCTGTTACCATGGGGTCCATCTTAATAAGGTCAACCTTATTAAGAGGAGCGGCTCAAGATCTATTTAAATTGGTCAATATTTCAATATTTAATCAATGTGAGATTTATTCCCTTAACTGAGAATATAAAATAAAAAATTTAATAGAAGGTCAAAATTAATAAAACCTAACTCATACGTGTAGATTTTATTTTTGAAATTAGCTAGGTCAACAGTGCTGATAACCTAACTTGGGTACCTATTTTTGCAAGTGACATCTGCTAGCCAAAAGAGATTTGCCGTACAAGTGTGTTATCTTAGTAGACACGAAACAACATTAAATAAATAGAAAGAAACCTTGATTTTCAAGAAAAGCAACAAATGATTCCACATAAATATTTTCTTATTTTGCCTTAGGGTTTATCCCTGCAAAACGACACTTAAACGTTTTGTTAAATGCTTCAACTGGATGCTGACCAAATTTGATTAGTTTACACACAACAAAAGGGTAAAAATAATTTTGACTTACCAAATTTAGCATAGATTTTTCACTATTCTAAAGAAGTTGTAATTTCATTCCATATAATTGATTCAAGTCTTCAAGCTTTCAACTTTGTATCACTCGTCTCTTCAAGTTGACGATTTTCGTTCATTTAATAGTTAAAAAGTCATATTTTATTTATATTTAACGAAAATTATGAGTTTAATCATTTTTTTTTATAAAACCTAAATCAAATTAGAGATTTATGTGTTTTTTTAATGAGAATATGATAAAAACCGCTCATTAGGGATCTTGATGCTACAAAAATTAAAGGTTGAAAATTGTATGCACAAATTTTTCCCTTTGATAGGCAAATTTATTAATGGTTTATTGATAAGAGTAGTAAAATGAATAGTAATGGATCCAATAAAATGTATTGGTTAGTAATGAGTAGTAGATATGAATGCACAGCTAAATTTAATATTTTACTGTAATATAATTTATAAATTGTATACAACCGGTGGCTCAATTAGTTGGGGATCTCCATGGTTCCAATATACTAACAAAACTTAACAAATCCAAAACCATTTGAGCCTCATACATTAAAACCTATTTATTTCAAACTCATTTTCGGCTACACATTAGAAAAAAATTTACTTTTTATAAAATCTATTCTAAAAAATGGGGCTAATCAAGGCTATATTTTCATCTACAATGTTCTAAATAAAACTAAAGTAAATTCAATAGAATTCCAGAAAAGAAATAATTAGTTAATTTAACCATTCACCTATTTTTAGAAAGCTTTCAAAACTAAATTAACACATCCATCAATGAAAATATTCATATTGGTTGTTCTATGTAACTTTCATAAGTTTCACCTATAATCACATGCATGGGACCTAAGTAGTTGGTGTGTAACAAAAAATTGAAACCCTATGACAAATTCTATAAATAGGCCACAAACCCATAAATCACAACATCTTCATAAATAATTATAGAAATAGAGAGAAATATATACATATATAAAGAAAGAGAGATGGAAAAAAGCAAGGTTTTGATAATTGGGGGTACAGGTTACTTAGGGAGGAGATTGGTTAAGGCAAGTTTGGCTCTAGGTCATGAAACATACATTTTACATAGGCCTGAAATTGGTATTAATATAGATAAAGTTGAAATGCTAGTATCATTCAAAATGC